CCCCCCCCATACCTCACATACGCGCGCCTACTTAGAAAACGGTGGCATTGGGAAGCGAATTACGTAACTTTTAGTCGGCAGTTAAGGGATTAATTATAAATCGTACAAATTATCAAGATAAGTGTTAATTTTTGGATATCATATTTTATATGAAAAGCCCATGGGGGTCACTGGTAATTTTTAAACTTGTTAATAATTTAGTATTGTTAAATTAATAATAAAATACATACAATGTGCAATACTGATATATTTATAAGTGTATTATATCAGTGTATTTTATTTTTTATTATGCCAAAATGTATTTTGTTTGTCTGCTTTTCATAAATTAATCATTTTCTTAAATAATCTTTTGTTTCCACCTTTTTAATATGCTCGCACCCCCCTCGTCGAATTATCACTCCCCCCTAGCGGGGCGTGCCCCATTAAACACTTCTGCACTTCTTCTTAGCACTGCATTAAACACTTTAGAAAAAATGGCACGTTGATCCATAAAGGTTCACCACTCCTGCATTGGAGGCTACCACGAATGTAATGGCTTCTATTCTTGAGGATTTTCCATGCCTGCAAAACCTAAGTTGCTAATATAGAACCCATTGGGAAAACAATTTAAATTCTTAAAAAAGTGGCAAAATTAGAAATATTTCAATGAAATATTCCTAAATCTAAATTGCGTAAAAACTACAGTGGTGATTAGTGATATTTTTCTTTAAGAAATGGTTTAATTCAAGCAATCAGTATCTCTTTTTACATAAACATAGTACAAGAGACCACTTAGTTTTGTTCCTTTGGATTCCTTTAATTAAGAGTACACGGTACGATTTACATAACATTTTTTAATGTAATCATTTTTAAAATTTTTTTGGTTGTCCCCTATGTGTAGGTATTATGTGAAATAGATTTTGTGCTCAAAATTTCTTAAAAAACTAACAATTTAATTTTTTAAGGAAAAATTTTTAATTTGTGAAGTGGTTTTAAAATGCTACTCCTCCTACACAAATTGACGTACATATATGAAATTTAATTTACAGGTACGTCAAACTATGTATAACAAAAGTCTGTATGGGTTTTGCGATAACATGATTGGTTTTTGTACAATACTTATTTTTATGAATGCTTAATGAAAATTCCTTAAAAAATGTGTAAATTCTAAATTCAATTATTTTTAAAAAAATAAGTATCGCTTTGATTGAAAAATGCATACAAAACTTTTATTCCATGTACTATTAGCAACAAGTGAAAAACATTTCCGAATATTTGGCCCAATACAAAAAAAGCCTTAGCATTTTAAAGAAGTCAAACTAGTTATTTTATCTTTCTTAGATAAATCAGTTTAAAGTTTTGATTTGCCATTGGGTTGTGAACAAAAACGAACGTAAAAGTTATCACAATTCAGCATTTTTTAAACTTAGAGCTTTCAAATTTTGTGAGAGTATCGAAAAGTACATATAAAATAATCTAAGCTAAGAAAATTAGATTTGATTTTTTGTCCGATTTTTGTCAATTCAATCGTACTGTGTCCTCTTAAACTGTGAGATATTAAATAAAATTATTGTATGTTTACATCACACACACAACACACGAAGTATGAAAAATCCTACACAAACCGTACGTATTAGAATCGAAGAAACCAAGTATTATCACAGATAAAAATAAGCAAGTAAAATAAAAAAATAAAAAAAAAATAATAAATTCCTACTTAAAAAAATTTATTTTAGTTACTTTTTATTAAATAATTGCAATTGATATAAATATGTATATGCATATGACAGGATCACATTATTAAGTGGCCAAATAGAAAATGATCCTCCTTGCAATTTTCCATTTTCCTTTCTATATAGAGTGTTGGACTATTATTTTTTGTCACTATTCATTCATCAATTAAATTTAAATATTCCATTAAAATAGTATAGCAGAAAGCAATCACATTCTCAGAAATTAGGCCAACTCAGGTGGGATTCAAATCCACGACCTTTGGATTAGAAGTCCAAAACGCTATCCATAACGCTACAGAGACTTAACGAACGATTTTTCTTTTTATATATGGTATTGGACAATTATTTATGTTTGTTATTATGTATTCATTAATTTAATTAAATTAAGGAATTAATATTTGAAAGAAAAACTATATTAACATCAAGTGTCATCCACTACAAGTTTTAAAAAAATGTATTGGAACTTGAGTGGATGAATAAAATGTATTTTATTAACGATTGAAAATTTGAATGATATATATATATATATATATATATATATATTTATATATATCAGTCAGGCCCCAGGCCAGCTGGTAAAATGAGGAGAGCATCGTCTCTAAAATAACTTCTTTATTGTTCTTCAAACACATGAAATCCAACATCGCGGCCTTTTGGCGCTCAAACGGGTAGTACAAAAGACATCTTTGCAAGGAGTCACCAGCTAATCTTTTTCGAGCATGCTCTCTCTTTTGTCAGCACTCGCTGTACCTTTAAATAGGCTTATTTACCTACAAACCCCTACGCGAGAGTAAAGAGTTCGTTATATTTTTAATTATTACTTACTTAATTTTGAAGCTAAGCTTTCCAAACCTAAGATATATATATATATATATATATATATATATATATGTGTATGTATGGGGAAGGTGGATCCATAAAGCATTAAAAACCCTAAATCGCTGGCCTAATTCAGCGACAGCCTTAGAAATCCTAATAGGTCTCCAGTTTAGTCCAAAGACTGTTTTGTATCTACATTTGTTGTGTCTGTTGAATTCCGATTTTTCCTTCTTTAGCACTGTAGGTTCTAGTACTTCTTCACTTTTATTTTATACTATATATATATGTGTGTGTGTATAGGGAGAGTGTGAACTAATAGTAGGAATTGTGAATAATAATAATAATAATAACTAAAGTATGCACGAAACTTAGATTTTCACACTTAAAAGTTTAATATAAAGATGTTCATATTTTAAGGTGAATATAGTATGAAATATATATGCACAAGCATGAGCTTCTGGAAGAAGAATCATGTCAGAAAAACCTTTCCAGAATTGTTTTTCTCATAAAACAATAACAAAGAATTTTTTTGAAAAAATTGCTTTGCCAAAGTCGGTAGAAAAACTAACTCTCTCTTGTAAGAAAAATAGACTCCTTTAAAGTAAGTATAATGCATATTATTTCTTTTATACTTTTTGCTTGGTATCTAATGGGAAAATCTCAATTGAGGTGCTCTAAAAGTCACTCGTTGTTTTGTATTGTGTGGTGTTTTTTTATCTTCCTCCGTAACTGAGACCTCCTGCTATTTAAGCGGACATGTCATTAAACCATCTCATTTCCTATTGTTGTATTGGTCGTTAAAGTTACAAATGGTGTTACGAAATATCCTGGTGGCGTTTTGCCAAGAAATAAATACGTCCAAGGATTTGTAATCTTCCCATTCAAAATGCCCCTGGTGCCCTTAAAAAGATTTTCTAGAGTAAATTCTGGTAATATATAGAAATGGAAAAGGACACAAAGAACATTTTGGGAATTTTGGAACTTTACTTCAAATGTTAATTTTTTAAAAAATGATATAGGTTTATAATATATTTTAAGTTTTTTTCAGTCCGTTGAACTTTTAGATTTACTTTGTTTGATGTTAAAGAAAGACGAAGTGTATTTTTTCAATTTTTTGGGCGTAAATGATTCAATAAATTTTTTGAGTGGTTTTGATATAGTTTATGTGGTTTGGTAATATGCTTTTGATTCAAGAAATAAAATATTGATTAAAAGGAAGTGAGAAAATATATTATCTATAGAGATCGAAGATCGTATTTTCTCAATTCCTACTTTAGCTCACACTCTCTATTTATTTATTAATCTTGGTTGAATTTCCAATCGTTAATGAAATACATTTGAAAGCACTCAATTGAGCTGAAATTTTGTATGTATGATTATTTTGGATGACAAAGCAATATTTAATTATAATTAATAAAAATTAGTTGATTAAAACTAATTATTTAAAGAATTACTAATAAAATTACCAATAGATACATTGGCATCATTTTTGACGACTTGGGTCAAAACTTGAAAAGGTTTTTTTCTCACGTTTTAAAGAATTCAGTTGGACTGAAATTTTATATACGCGATTGTTTTGGATGACAATACGATACTTAAATTGCCCATTAATGTTGTGATTCTGTCATAATAAAAAGTAACTTAAATAAAATTTTCTTTGTTGATCTGAGTAGGAATTGACTTAAAAAATTTTTTTATATTACTTATTAATTTGTCTACGTGATCAAAACACGTAGATATATACTTAGTTAACATACATGGGGATTCTAAAATTATGGGGCAAACTCTGATGGTTGGTAAAGCTCACTAAAGCAAACAACTTTTGAAAAAGTAACGCTTGGGTAGAAGTGCCACGTTGAGGCACAAAAAGAAAAATAATATACTAACGGAAAAGTAAAACGTTCATTAGCAGCATACTTAACGACAGATTCTGTACAGAAAATGTTAAAACAGTTTTAGATAATGCCTCCATCAACAGTGCAACAGTAAAACACTTCTTACGGTTGATTGACTAACATGTATACAGCCTTTGTAACGCTGGGGGCTTCGTCCACATGGTCCAAGATGACTTCTTCTAGGTGTGTCTGTCGTACATTCCTCAATCTACCTCTCTCATCAGTACTGGTGAAAAATGAGCCATTTTCACACAGCTGCCGATGTCGTTGAAACATTTTGTGGTTTCGGCATGCGTCTACTTGGAAAGTGTTCTTGATACAGCCGTCGCTCTGCCCTGCTGTTATCATTAACAGCACCGTACATTACATGCATGTCTGACTTTTTGCTAATAATAAAATCTACCACAACGACCGAAATCTCAAGCACTAATGCTGATTTTGGTTGTGCAGCAGATCACTGGTACACCGCTTTGCTGGCTTCAAATATCCTCAATATTGTTAACCAATCATGCAGTGAGGATCGCCAAGCATGTATGATGGTTGGTAGATACAATTTCTATAAAAATGTTTTAAAAATTTCTATATGAAATCAATTGTTAAGTATGCTGCTAATGAACATTTAATGCTTTCATTAATATGTTATTTTTTTCTGTTGAGCCTCAACGAGGCAATTCCGCCTATGTATTCCTATAAAAAAAATTGTACATTTTAGCCAGCTCTCTAACACCCCTCAAATTTCTCCCATGATTTTTGAATAATCCTGTACATATTCAGATATACCTCGCCATCTAGACTTAAAATTTGTGGCTGGGGTAACCGAGTGGTCATGTGCGAGTGCTTGGGGACGGGGTTAATGTATCGCGGGTTCAAGGCCTTGGGCCTTTAATGTCTCGGCATCGGAGGGGATGATGCCCGTTAAAGCTGTCGATACTCAAAGTGCTGAGGCGGTGTGATATATCTATATAAACAAGAACCTAACATCACGCGTTGACGATCGCTTTGGCGTGATAGATAAAGTACTCGCGTTCGGAACGGAATGTACCCATATCGAATCCTTCCTTCATTGGTGACCCTGGTCGTACAAACAAATCGCACCCTTCACGCGCAGCAGTCGTGGTGACATCTATCCACCGCAAAAGCAACCAAGCCGTCAAACATTGACGCAAATAAGCCGTCACTCCACAAAGCCGTCTCACTTAAATGACAAAATTCTCAAGCCATCACGCAACCCAATAAGTGACGCAACTGCTCACATGCTCACCATGAATATGGTATCATGCGTTCACCTATGCACTGAATCACTGTTATGGGGTTAATGTGGCGGTGTAAAATCTACATAAACAAGTACTAAACATCCCGCGTTGACGATCATTTTGGCGTGATCGGTTAGATACTCGCGTACGGAATGGAAAGTACCCAAATCGAATCTTCCTTCAGTGCTATCGTAGGCGTGATGGGGACGTTTGGAGAGGAAAGTGCTTTCTCAGATATTAATCTCGTCACTTGGCAAGCTTACGAGGTTCGTCGCCAATAGCCATCTTGTTGTTTCACAGATCGACGTGAGTTAGATTAAAGTGAACATTAGAATTAGAATTACCACACAGTTTAAGGAATACCAATCACTTTATTAATTTTTCTTTACTTAGTAGTAAGTAAATGCATTATATTTCAGAAAGGCTGTAAAAAAATTTCAACAAAACAAATCAAACAGGATATTAAGCAGAAACGGTATTCGAAGACAAAAGTTCCTAATTTTTTTGTCTCATATACCCCTTGCCAGGTTTTATGTTTTGGGTAGATCCCTGCTTACCTAATATAGAATGTTTGAAAATGTATCAACTTAAATGTCTTTTTGACAGCTGTTACAGAGCTACTTACTTTAAAAGACTCAAATTTCGAACTTAAGTGACGTATATTGTTTAAAGAAAAAACATATAGATTAAATTAAAATTTAATTAATACATAAAAAATAACTGTTACATAAAATGACTGATCCACAAACAAATGCTTATAAAGAGAGGGGTGATTTGAGCTTCAATAATTTTTGGTATCAATCTTGCCAGGTTTAACCGTAAACCTCCTCTGGTTACTAGAATCCAGTATTTTTCTTTCTTTTTAAAATTCCTACACTATTAGCTCACACTCTTTATATATTTATTTACCTTGGTGGAATTTTCAATCGCTAATAAAATACATTTTAAAGCGGTAAATTATGCTGATATTTTATATACGTGATTATTCTGGATGACAACACAATAATTTAACTATAATTAATAAAAATTGATTAAAACTAATTATTCAAAGAATTACAAACACAGCCACGTTGATATCACTTTTGGCGACTTAGCGCCAATTTTGGCTTTTATTCCCTCACATTTTAAAGCACTCATTTGAGCAGAAATTTTCTATACACTAATGTTTTGGGTAAAAATACGATAATTTAATTATAATTAATTAAAATTAATTGACTGAAACAAATTATTTAAGGAATTACAGATACAGCCACGTTGGTTTCATTTTTAGCGACTTGGGGCAAAACTTTAAAATATTTTTTTCTCACGTTTTAAAGCATTCAATTGAACTGAAAT